TATTTCAAATTTGAATATAATCAGTGAAAGCAAGTCAGAGATATGACACAAGGGCCACATTCATTAAAACAAAATGGCGGCCAGTCGGCCATTTGAAATCTTATCTGAAAAACAAAATTATTTGCATCAAGGTCCCATAACGTCGAATGTATATACCAAGTTTGAACAAAATCCATCTGTAAACAGCCGAGAATTGCTTGATTTTTAGGATTTTTTAGCACAAAAATGGCCGCCCTTCGGCCATCTTGAATCAGATCATGCAACAAAATGAAGTGCGTCAAGGTCCTGTAATGTCTAATGTATACACCAAGTTTAAACAAAATCCATCTGTAAATAGCCGAGAAATGCTTGATTTCGATGATTTTTAGCACAAAAATGGCCACCATTCGGCCATCTTGAATCAGATCGTGAAACAAATTGATGTGCATATGTATAATATCATGTATGATGTATGTGTGAAGTTTGATTGTGATTGGTCCAGGCATTTCTAAGATACAGGTCCGGACGCACGCACAGACACACGCACGCACACACGCACGCACGCACAGACACACGGAGGTCAAAACATAAGTCCCCGTTTTTGGACTGTGTCCGAACGGAGACTAAAAAGTAAATGGTGAGAAACGTACAGCACACATAAAAAAATTTAGGTATACTAAAGTGTACAAGCTCATGCTTGATGTGTCACTGTGGATAATTTGTCAAGATAACTATCAAACATGTAATAGTTCAGCAAGAAGTCACCTAGCCCACGGTTACTATTTTTTTTAGTAACCGTGCTGAGCCTGACTGGCTAACGCCTGACAGAATAGTGTATGTCTTGTCAGCAAGATCAAACTGCGAATTCACACCTTCTGCAAGTTCACGCCTTCTTGCAATGAGTTTCAATGAATATTCATGGTAACACCATCAATCATGAAATTAAAGGTACTTGATAAATAAACAAAGAAATCGATTTGGAATTTTCTCTAGAACATCTGCTTTGTCGCCAGTTGTCGGAAAACATTTTTGCAAGATGATAAACATTGGGCAGAAATTTACCAGAACCTTATCACACATTATATCAACAAATAATCTCTGCCGTAAATGGTTACCCTTTTATGGCTGTCACTATCTGATGTTCCTGCAATTTGATTGGTACCAACAAAAAATAGCTGGGGAAGTGAAAATCTACATCGATTTGTCAGGCATGTGATGAGTTTGGAGCACCGCGGAGGGCGCAACTCACACTATTTTGTCAGGCTAGAATGTCACCCAGAAATAGGCAAATGTACTAAACTGATTGAGTTGACAATATCACTTTTGATATCACTCCCAACATAATGCCACAATTTATTCCCTTTTTTTGCTGTTTGATAAAGGTCATTTGTTTCTCTGTAGGGGTGTTTATTATACAATGTGTTGTAAATATAGCATGTACATAACAAACAGTGACCTCTACTTATAACACTCACCATATCACACTGCAATGTATAACTAAGAATTTTGGAACCATTGTCACATGGTGCATTCCATTTCACTGATATGCTGTTTTTAGAACGTTGACCTAATTTTGGCGGTGCTGGAATTGCTGGTGCACAGTTTAACGTTCTAAAAGATATCGATTTGGACAGTGATCCTCGTATGTCTTCCCATATTGCACATACACTGTAAATAGCAAGAATTGTAAAAATTATTTAATTATATGAATGTACTACAAAGTGAATTATTTGGGCCATCTTTAAAGGGTTATGACCTGCAGCAACTTACAAATATTTGTTAAATGTTTAATATTGTAAACTAATTGTTAATACCATGACAACAGATAGATGGATTAATCAATGTTGCGCATATGCTTAATTTGTAAAGTTTCCTCTCCTCATTTTCATTAAGTTCAATTCAATCTGTGTTTGGTTGTAGTGGGCTGTAGTGGAGGCAAACTAGAATAGGTGTCAAGAACTGTGTGAGTGTGAACCAACAAGGTTTTTCATACAATAACTCCAATACTCATTAAGGCATACTTTTAAAATAATATTACATTACATCACACTAACACTGCAGGTTGGCACCCTCTCTACACCGATCTGACCCATATGGCGTGAGAAGTGCAAGGAGTTTCTTCAGAACATGAAAGGTTTTGAAGTCAGCAGTTGATTGATGTCGGTTGATTTTTCTTACAAATGTAATAAAACATTCCAGTTATTTCTTTACTATGAATATTTATACATGAAACTTAAAAAATTGCGTAAATAAGTTTATGCTGCTAGTTCCATGATCAGAGTGCGTTCTGCGTACGATTATATTGCGTTCAAAGGTATTCTCTTTCAAACTACTTGATACATGAGGAAATGAGAGAGATTTCAAACTTTGAACACAAATTTTATTGGCTGTATTAAGTGTTAGTTACTGCTATTCAAAAGATTTTATTATATATACATGTCAATCAGTGAATCGATAGTATTTGATATTACATTTTGTTTAATACATTATTTTTATAGATGGATGCATACTTACCTCAACTGATACTCTGTGGCAGGCTTAAGATCAGCTATAACAAACTCCATTTCAGCTCCACTAGAACAAAAGCAATCAAGTTTCAGAATATACACAAGAAAAATGCTGCCTGTTCTGGAAAACTAGTTGATATGCTGGAACCACCATTCATTGACTGGCTCCACATAAATCTAATTCTGTATCAGTTTTTCTACGTGATTATTTGTAAGTTTACTATCTGTACCATTCTTACCACCGTTACCACTTTGTATCAGAATTTACACCTGAGATCTCTGCATTTAGTTTAATCCATTTATTTTGTCTGGATTCTCTTTTATTTATTCTGATTAGACCTGAAGATGCTTTTATGAAAACCATAAATTGTATAGTTTCAATCAAATATTGCCTTTTTAGATACTGACAGCAATACACAAACTGTGTCCATCTATCAAGGGTCAACAAAACCTTTCTTCACAGTAAGCACTATGTAAGAACCTTATGATGAAATGTACCAAGTAGGATCAGTTGACATTGATTATGTTTATTTATATGATTACTGTTTATTATTATCTCTAAAATTAAGTTTCTGATAAATATTTTCCACAAGTGATCTATTTTACAGGTAACAAATACAGGTTCAAATTCATCAAAATAGAGGCCAATACAAACAGTGTTGAAGAATTAGATGATTTTCCAGACACAAATAATTAAACACAAAATGAAAACCAACGGCTGACATGATGATTAATAGGAAGATCATCAAAATAGAGGCCAATACAAACAGTGTTGAAGAATTAGAAGATTTTTCCAGACACAAATAATTAAACACAAAAAGAAAACTGACACGGTAATTGATAGGAAGATGGGATTTGGCCAACTCACTGGGGATGCAACACAGTATTGGTCTGTCATGCAGCATTTATATGAATGGAAATTCTATATAAGATAAGAGTGTACTCTCAAGACAAAAACATAGAATCATCACTCATTACCAGTCTGAGACCAATGACGGAACCATTTACCTGCAATCTCGGTAAACGAACTTACAATCTGACTGTGTAATACAGAGGCTTATCATAGAAATACTTTTACCTGTAGATTGTCCTCCATTTACCATCTCTAACTTTCTCCATCAATAAGAGTTCATAGAGTAATGGTAAAGGATCAATTGGTTCGTCTTGGCCACTCTCTTCATCTGAACTTTCCAGGAACGGAGGTGACCACCTGACTGTTACACTTCTTGTTTGAATGTTGGAGGTTACAGGTGGCTGAATACTGGATAAGCATTCTCGCCTTCGTTTTACTTCTGGATCATCTACAAATAAGTTCATCATAGTAGCATCACTTTGTTAAACAGATTTAACTACCAAATTGAAAGTCAACAAAAAACGTTGGAACAGGCACAACTCCTTTAAAAATTGATTTAGTGTACCCGTCTAACAAAATTCATCATTAGGGATATCTTTCGATCAATGTCGATAATAAAATTGCAATACAGAACTGTAGCTATGATGTCCTTCAAGAATGATACCCATGTTTGTATGACATTTTTGATCAAAATCTGCTTATTGTATTTTTTCAAATCTATATTCAGTCCTCTATATTGCGTATATATTTTTTTATATGTGTCTCATACGTAACACATTGAAACATTTGTCCAAATCACCCAAAAATAATATTGTGATGATGACCTAATTACATCATTCAACAAACGTACGCAAACATAATAATAATATTATGATTGTTTCCCTAATAAGCACAGGGCGATGTTTACAATAGTGCAACAATATTTGCATTTTCATTTTAAAACTGTCTCCTTACAATTGCAGCTTTGGTTCAGAAAAAAAAAAATATTAACTTTAACATCTTCATGCATACACCTCTGGTTTCTATCCCCTTTTGACAATGGTCATGTAGTATATTTTTCAGAGTGAATGTGATTCAGACGTCGTGGGCAAGTTTATTTTTAATGAGCTTCTTTGGTCTCCCTGTTTCTCATTTTACTATTCTCAATGTAATAGTTTGAAATTCAGTTAGAAGGCAGCCATTTGAAATCATGGAGGGTTGCTGGAAAGTAAGCAGCACATTAACTTTATTTGTGGTGTCTTATCTTAACATTTTTTACTTTTCTTGAATAGCCAACAGTTTTTCCCTTCACCTTGCATGCAATTTTTCTCTCTCAGTGTCTCTTTTTTGATTTGTTTTAAATTTTCAAGCCAACCTCCCATGATTGCAAATGGCTGAGCCCTTACACTGTATCTAAAAAAACTCTTAATTCAATAGTGGTGCGATGTACCACTTTGTAAGAATATAACGACTTGTCACTCCTGTTTTAACCGACTTTGTTCACTAAGAGAGAACAAATGACAGGTTTGCTAGATCGATATTCTCTCCCAAGCTTATTCATCTGCATTTCTACAATTATATTTTGATTTGTACTGCGTCTGTATGAAATTACAATGCCCGCTGCAGGTAATGCTGGCGGCAAAAAAAGTTTAAACACTAATTTTCATATAAACAGAAACATTGTTGCACTTTGAACATATGTCAACAAACATGGGTCTTATCCTTGATATATAAAAAGGGCACAGTGATATAATTCACAGCAATAAATGTAAATCTAATAGAAGAAATACTGTATTAGCTCTATTAGAAGCGCATGCTCTTATGCAAATGACCTGTTAACAAGTTAGCATAAATGGAGTTTGGTTTATATGCGCCTCTAATGCAGATGCTGCACTTCTAATTAGAGCAAATACGGTATGGTTAGCAACAGCAGTCGTGGCAAATCTGCAGAAGTGTTTCATCAATTATGATTTTTCAAAAAAAGCAAACCATCCAACTGTAGTCATAGTTACATATGGAAGAGTGCAATATTTGCATGTCTGCTAGACTCAAACGACATACTGTGATTCATTGGTAATGGACCAGACTGTCAATGTTTGCATCCTCTTCAGAGTGGACTGTCTGCATGATTTAACACAGGGCAAAAGTTTAAAGTTTCTCACCTCCAATATCATTTTCAATACCATTGTACCTTTTACTTCTACCATTTGATCGACTTATTCCATTTTCTGTAGTTAAAGGTGATGTTGATGGGCTTTTATGGGGGATGTGATTACAGTTCATGGGCGTGTTTAAATTTTCTTTTTGTCTATCTCTAAGCTTTCTCTGTAATCTGTCTCTCTGTCTATCTGTCCTATCATCCCTTGGTCTGGTTCGGTGTATTGGTGGCCTCTGTTGTGGTTCTATTCAGAGTAAAATCAAGAAGGTACTTAGTATTCCTTGTCAAAAATATACCATGACTTGCATTTCAAGAACCAAAACTTCATATAAAAATGCAAATATGTCTAACTTTTTATTCCATTATTTTTAAAAACAAAACAAAAATAGTGTTTTTTATACAAGTACGTATGCATTATGAGCTAAAAAAAAAACATACCCCTCCAACAACAAAACAACTCATGGGTATAGTGTTTAGGAAATGACAAGTGCCCCTACTTTCACAAATGTTTTCATTTTTAGAATTGCCTAAATGTCATATCCTACGTTTCAATCTATTATTAGTATTATCAATCATTTTGATAGCATATCAAATAAACAATTCACAATATACATGTATCAACATTAAGTATCTAAAAACACCTTAACAAGACAATTCTACTAAATGACAGGCTAACTGTCAGAGTCATTAGCTGATTAAATTTTGTTTGAATAAATTAAAAAGCGTTCCAATATAAGAAAGCTAATCAGGTAATTCCCATTGCAATATAATTAGTGTAAAAACACACAGCGACATCAAAAGCTGTAACAATATATAAGGTATCAATAAATAAGTTATATTAAGGCTTCATTGTGGATTTGATGATGCTGATACATCAAAACAAATATGACTAGTATAGTTTGTTGAAAGATTTGAGAACAGCACAGAGTGAACACAGTTACCTATTGACAGAAATAGTGTTGCATACTGCCCAAACGAACAGCTGTGTGGGAAAATGATGGTCATCATGTATAACAAATTTTTTTTTTTTACCTGAACCATACCTAGATAATTAGTTTAAATTGAACACAATACTCTCAATGGCATGGTGCTAAAGTCCACATTGCAAACAGGTGGTGGGTTAGGTATATTTATATTTGAAGTTGATGATCAAATCTCATGTACCAAGTATAAAAGCAATAGAGTTAACGGTTTTCAAGAAGAAGTTTTTTGAAAAAAGAAGTTTACATGAGACGCAGGACATAAATGACAACAGATAATCATTCATACAAACAGCTCGATGAGAGAAGAGCTAAAATATAATTCAAATTTTTCTTCCACCCATTCAGCCATCTCAAAAATAATTATTTGTTGATGTTTAAATTAAAGCTACAAGACCTGTTTTCAAACCAATCTAGGATACAATTAAAAAGAAATAATGATATTACACATATATCATAATGCATCTGGAACTTCTCCTACTATCCTGACTGCTATAAAGTGAATAATTACATCTGCTTTTATAGTATGAATTGATTTCTTATGACATCGTCAGCGTATGAATTGATTTCTTATGACATCATCAGCGTATGAATTGATTTCTTATGACATCGTCAGCGTATGAATTGATTTCTTATGACATCATCAGCGTATGAATTGATTTCTTATGACATCATCAGAAAACTCATTGACAATACAGCTATGCTGCAGGCAATATCACCATCAGGAAGTCTGAAGAATCGTTACCAAGACTGACATTTCACTTTGATACAAAAGCACAAATTTGAGGGAGAACAGTATAAAATTAGTATTTATTCTCAACAAGTGCATACAAGTCTTTTTTTCTCACACTGATTTGTATGATACATGTTAAAAGATAAGAGATAAAAAAAAAGTAATTGCATTACACAGTGCCCGTAGGTTATCAAGTTTAATAAGTCCTTGCATGACAAATTTCTCAGACATATACCTATGCTGGTGTAATCAGTAATGGAACAGCTTTAAGGCATGTAATGTAACCTGTAGTTAATGTACAAGCTATAAATGTTTTAAATATCTGCAAAGTTCATTTACATTCACATCAAAAAAAAACTGCTTGATAATTAGGATTTGAACATCTGTCATTATTTCTGTCATCATCTTCTGTCATATATTGCATTTGTCTGATGGGGCTAATAAACATTTTTACAATTTGCAAAGTTAAATATATTTTTTGCTTATTAATTAATATAATTACAATACTAATGTTCAGATATTGTTAGAGACATCACAGCTTACAAGACCTCTGTAGTAACATTTAAAGGGGAGCAGAAGTCTGGCTTTTGACACTCTGAACATGAAATTTGAGATCTATGAATGAATTCTGTCGATAAAAACATCTTGCATGTGCTGCGAAATGCCCTAAATATCGGGTAAAAAATTGGCTGTGAAGCAGACGACAAACGCCCGCTTTGCCTGGCGTAATTTCGCCTCTAGAGGGCCAGTTCAATGATGTCATCAGTGAACACTTATAATTGAACCCATTCATTCTAGTACGTCAATCTCATAGAAATGCTACTATGAAAACCCTTGTTAACTGACAATTTAAAAGTTGAAACATTGTGAGGTGTTGTGCGTATGAATACCATACGTTTCTCGAAATCCCAAATAAAAAATCACGTTGTTGGTTTCGAAATATCGGCAGAAAAACTAATCTGAAAGTGAAGACACAGACAGCGTTCTAGCTATAGTGAACAGCGAGTGAATAAACATTGTACGAGTTAAAACTAAATTAGAAATACGCTAAAGTCACTTGAACTACAGTACCCATTTCGCCCAACTTCTTGCTTTTCAATCGACCGCTTATCGTTTAATTTTTGACCGCACTGTATTTTCTGACCGTTATCGTTTCTCTCGCTGGCTCAATGAAAACACCGACCGGTCGCCCAAACACTGGTCCCTGGCACAGGAGTGATCGAAATGGTGGTTTTAGTGATACAGTTTGTGGGTACAACGGGTACTAAGTATTATTAAATTCCGAACTACTCTTCAAAACTATACCACTTTGTAACGTTCTGTGTCCAATATTAAATAACTGAGTTTGCATAATTATTATGAAAGCGATATATTACAATGTTGAAATTTTTAGAGCCGGTACAATATTATAAACACATTTGCGTAATTAGAAAAGTAGCGCACTAAGTAAACGATCTTAAAATATACAAGTTTGCGTAATTACAGCATCGTCAGAACTAATAACAATTTTACAAGATCGACGCGCGGAGCATGAAAGTAAAAGGTTGCTAAGGTAACGCGCCTGTTCAGCGCGTGACTTGAAAGTCAAACTTCGGTCAACACACACTATATGTCAGCATCGCCACGCAGTAAGTTGCGCAATGAAGTAACTGACAGACGTCGACACCGACGCATCCTAAACTTATGAGAAACAAACAACGATCAACATTCTAAACAAATTACTACCGGGACACTGTCGATAAGCATTCCAAACAATCAAAATTATTATCGTAAGACTGTGACTACAAACATAATCATACAAACACATCATGAAAAATCAACAATTAGAAAAGGAAACCAAGAAATTACGCCGATGTACTTTGTAAATCGGACAAGCATACCGCAATTGTGTTGAAACATTTTGGGGACAGTATCGTATCGTCAGAATAATGTTTAAAAGAAAATATTCCATCCCAATCAAATCTAGGTCAAAGGGTCAGATTGCGTGCATATAATTATAGATAGTCAAACACTAAATATATTTGAATTGTTGACAGCTATTCAACGTTTGTGCAAACCAGAATAAAAAAGGTACGTGTATACATGGAAGGTACTAACGGATAGTACTTCCATGGTGTATACAATAGCGATATGGCTGAGATATCATGGCATTTGTTTACAATATTGTACCGGCTCTAATATTGGACACAGATAAAGTTGTGTTCGCAAACGATAAAAATGTGGTTGTTTTCCGGTCGGAAAATACCGTCCGGTCAGAAATTAAGCGATCGATTAAAAAGTGAGAAGTTGGGGGAAATGAGTACTGTAGTTCAAGTGACGTTAGCGTATTTCTAATTTAGTTTTAACACGTACAATGTTTATTCACTCACTGTTCACTATAGCTAGAACGCTGTACGTGTCTTCACTTTCTGGTTAGTTCTTCTGCCGATTTCTCAAAACCAACAATGTGATTTTTCCATTTTGGATTTCGAGAAACTTAACATTAATCGTTATGGCATTCATAGCACAACACCTCACAATGTTTAAACTTTTAAATTGGAAGTTAACAAGGTCTTCCCTGGGAGCACTTCTATGAGATTGGCGTACTAGAATGAATGGGTTCAATTATCAGTGTTCACTGATGACATCATTGAACTAGCCCTCTAGAGGCGAAATTACGCCTGGCAAAGCGGGCGTTTGTCGTCTGCTTCACAGAACGTTTAATACCCGATATTTAGGGCATTTCGCAGCACATACAAGTTGTTTTTATCGACAGAATTCATTCATAGATCTCAAATTTCATGTACAGAGTGTCAAAAGCCAGCCTTCTGCTCCCCTTTAAGGTAGTGAAAGAGGGAAAACAAAAATAAAAGTAATTTTTTTTTCAAAAAATACTGATTATGTAACATTACATATTATATTTATTTTTTCCTTTTTTACTATCTTAATTTGATGGCAATAGCAATGTTACATAAATTCTCTGTGATTTTTTTTCTCAAATTAACAACTAACATCTGTTCATGTAAACAGGAAGCTTTTACTACAAACAAGTGAGCTTTGCTGTTTATATTAGCAACAAGATAACTTCAAATCATGCTGGGTAGAAGTTCACATTTGGAAAGTATTGAAACTACACAGAAAATGGTCGCCAGAATTCTAACATTCTCCGATTTCACTGTGCACCCATTTTCAAATAACTCATAATCCTCACCAATTCCTCCTTTCTAAGTTCATTTATGACCTTTTCTATGTGAAAACTCCTCACTCCATGCTTATGTACAATTTAAAGTATATCCATCACAATACCAACACTCAACAGAAAAAACGAGGGGACCTTGCTGTACTGAAAATGAACACTTCCATGGGAAAATTTGCACTCAAAATAAATCTTTTTGGACTTTCTCCCTAAGATAGTACTTACTGGTGTTTAAATTTCATTACTGTCATCATTTATTTGTTTGTTATTTATTTATTTACTTACTTATTTACCTTTCGTCATCAGGTGTAATACTTAGTATTGTATTGTATTAGTTTAGAGCTACACTACATGTCAAAAGTATTGTCGAGACGTCAATATTTTATACTAATTTGCATATTTTTCTAACGGATTAATAGAAATTGATTTGTTTTCTACAGAAATAAAGTTTTTAGCTAGCAAATGATATATAATTTGTTATATCATGCACTGTTCCTGCCCAAAGTACGCTCTGCTAACATCTGACCCTTCATAATATCTGATATCTGTAAGGCTCGGGCATATTACAAAATGGGCAGAGCTATCAATGCAAAGTAAATGTTAAACAGAGTGACAGTTGCTAACAAAAAAAATTCTCACCCTTTGACCTTGATTAAATCACACTGGAAACACGATCGGCGATTACGAATTCACCATATCATGAATATTTATAAAATGGGCGGGAAAATTAAAACGTTGAACAATGGAATACTTTTATGCAAATTTTATGCTAATGAGATGACACACCATAGCAAAACAATGGTGAAAAAAAAACGTGCTAAAAATTTTTTTACAATTTTACAATTGATTGTCATTTTGGTAAGAAAATTACAGGTTTTTCAAATTGTGGGCATCAACACTTTTGACATGTAGTATATGTACAAATTTTATTTACTGGTACAAGTCAAAACTACATGTAGATTAGCTGTTTAAGCTATTTTTAGATTCTTTTTATCCAAATTATTTTATTTCCTTTGTTTTGTATTTGTAGTTATCTATTCTAATATCTTTCACTACTACCTATTTATTTCATGTTAAAATATTAGTTTATTGTTATTTTTAGATAATAAAGATTTAAGTATCTAAGAGTCCATAATGACTGTTTCAATCAGGAAAACACTGTTTTTATCTGTACTACAGTTAGTTAAGGATTGAACACCACATTTTTATGGAAGGGGGCAACAAAGATGCTAGACACATTATTTTATCTCAGCTAGGGACCCCATACCATGCATTTGTAGGAGGACCAAGCACTAAGTTTGTATATGTACTGCATGTACAAGTAACTAAGAATTCCATAACATGTGGTTGAGAGGGGCAGCAAAATTAGAGAAACATGTTTTTATATCTTGTAGCTAGGAGCGCCATACCATTAGGACAGTAAATCTGAAAACTTAAATGTATCATAAAATGACCAAATAAAATTTATGTCCTCATATCGAGTATCAAGTATCGAGATCAAATGTTAAAACATTACTGAATTCACATACACACATACAGTGTAACCTAAAAAGAAATAATGTTCATATGTTAGAATTATCTCAATGTCAATAAAGGCTGGTCACCATACATGTTCTGTACCTAGTACAGTATATGTGGTTTATAATGTGAAATGGTTTATCCCAATGCAAAGAAACCCAATGAATCAAAACTTGCTGGCACATCAATTGACACACATCATGCATGGTTAGAAGCTATAAAGATAAGTACACCCACCACATAGCATAACTATGTTAAAAATATGAGAATGCACACAATTTAAGCTCTAATGGAGTTTTACGCAAGCAGGTAAGGGTTGCATATATGAGGTGAAACTAGCAGAAGCAGGATGTACAGTTGTACATTTACAGTGAAGCCACCACTTACCGTGACCATAAACTGAGTTGTGATTAAGTTCTGGGCTATTACATTGAGGTGGAGCAGGCTGTGGATAGGCATACATATGAGGATGCAGATGAGGTGGCACACCACTACCATCACCTGGACCAACCATTTGTGGGTACATATGGGGAGGCATACCTCCTCCTGATGGTGGCATCATGTGTGGGTACATCGCTCCTCCTGGGTGAGGATACATCTGTGGTGCCATGTGAGGCGGTAACTGTCCACCGGGGCCAGGTGGTGTGAAGATAATTCTGTGAGTACCATCACTGTCTTGTATGACTTGTTGAACATACTGGCCTCCCTGTACTGGAATGATGGGTGGGTTGGGAGTATTGGAGTATATTGGAACACTGGCAGGACCTGTGAAATGGGACATATACATTGAGTGACAAGCATACCTTAGAAGAAGAAAAATAGAAAATTTACAGGTTTGTAAGTTTTAGCGTATATAGTAAAATGAGCAATGAATTGGCATCAGCAGTTAGGGCGAACATAAATTACCTGGGTTGAAACTCGGTTTATTTTTTTTATTTGGAATATCTAAATTCCTGACATGCAACATGTTTTTGAATTCTTCTGAGAATAGTGGCAATGATGCTATGAAATCTCATATAACATGTACAAATTTAAAAAGAAAGGACAGGACACTTAATGGAGTGAGTGCTCATCAAATCAATTCTGAACTTACTTCTCATCAAATTTAAAGTAATTAAGTAGGCTGCATTAAAGAGGCATCAGTTTCGGGTAAAACTGAATTACAGCCAAATCTAAATAATTGCAAATTGTATGGTTCTTACTAATCCATACGTCCAATGCTACAAGCAAAATATATCTGATAATACACTAGTCTATAAGATTAATACTCCACTTACCAGTTATAGTTTGTACTTAATTACTCTGCCTAATAGTGAATGTTTCTCCTTCACTAGTCTATAAGGTTAATACTCCACTTACCAGTTATAGTTTGTACTTGATCACCCTGCCTAATAGTGAATGTTTCTTCTTCATTAGTCTATAAGGTTAATACTTCACTTACCAGTTATAGTTTGTACTTGATCACCCTGCCTAATAGTGAATGTTTCTCCTTCACTCGTCTATAAGGTTAATACTCAACTTACCAGTTATAGTTTGTACTTGATCACCCTGCCTAATAGTGAATGTTTCTTCTTCACTAGTCTATAAGGTTAATACTCCACTTACCAGTTATAGTTTGTACTTGATCACCCTGCCTAATAGTGAATGTTTCTCCTTCACTAGTCTATAAGGTTAATACTCCACTTACCAGTTATAGTTTGTACTTGATCACCCTGCCTAATAGTGAATGTTTCTCCTGGTTTTACATGAACATAGAACACATATCTATGCTCAGTTGGAATTCCTTGATTTTGTGTTGGATCTGGACCCACCGGTGCCTGACCTGTATCAGTTTCTTCCACAAGTTGAGATGGTCCATTATTTAGTAACCCATTGCTGCAGTTAGTTGTCATGTTCCCTATTTCCTCTGGATGCTGTTGAGTCTCGGCCATAATTGCACTTAAAGTTTTTGTGTTTTAAAGACCTACAGAACAGAAAAAAGACAAAGGTCTCAAATTTCATTCTGGTGTATTAACGATTATTGCTATTAACAATGTGACAGTATTTTAAACCTAAATAAGATAGAATTTTAGATGTTAGTAAAATGTTAAGAAGAGGACAAATATGGTAGATTGTCCTACAGTACCGAAATAGTTGCTATGTTGGAGTATAAAGAAAAAAAATACCCTGGTGAGGGAGAATGGTATGGCAGTTCATGTTGTATGTAGTAATAATTGTTTTTTTTATAATAATTCATAAACATGTGTAGCACAGTATAGTGGAATGCATCACAATAGTCAAACAGGTTACAATTTAGATGGAAGTGTATGCATAAACAATAACATGAATAATCATGTCATAAATAGATATAGAAAATATTCAGAAATTTCATGTTATAACTTTTCTCATATTTATGGAGGCAGGACAAAACATTAGTTAATCCGATGGTCCTCACACAGTTATAAACACAAACTGCATATACAAATGTAATGTATATCATATAAAATTACATAATACTGTTTGTTGAATACATGTTTAATAACATCGACTCCGAAACTTCTATCATTAATCAGTAAACAATTTTACCATTAAAGGTTAAAAAAAAAATTGTTATATTTACCAAAAACAGAAAAATACCAAAATACATCACAATGACCAAATCCAATAGATGACCCACCATAACTGTTTGGTTGAAAACAAAATACTGGATGACATACGATATTTAGTCAGCGTGTTCACATGATCAATTGTTTGTGACACCGAGGAACTAAAACAGCACTGCACTGATTAGTACTGTACCTTTACACTGTACAATGTTGTGTTGATAATCAAGAAAACAAACTACCCGAATAAAAACATGTCATGTTTCTAGCCAATCGTATTTATCCAAAAATATTCATTCCCACGACTAATCTGTTCTCACGACCAGACAGATTGTTGATACATATCTGACCCAAGGTCCTTAGTTTAGACACAACAACACTAATATTTGGAACAATTTTCGAATCCCACTGAGGAATGAGTGTTAATACTATTATATAAGTTATTAATATTATTGTAAATATTAACTTTGAGTGTGTTTTATTCGCTTATGACCAATACAACGACTACTATAGCATTAAAGGAAAATAAGAGCTTTTTAAAGTGATGGAAAGTTGGTAACCATTGATAACGATTTCACTGAAGATGTAAAATAAAAGCACAAAAAGGACAGAAATAACAGGTTGAGTGAATTGTTTAACAAGAGACCTTACGATTGAAATAGCTCCCCGGTCTTTGTAGATTGTTTTTTCAAAAAAAAGTTGATAATATTATGTAGGATGAGATTTCACAGTTATTGTTATCACAATGCCATTGCAAGTAATCAAGAAAGCAATTTTCAAGAAGGATTTGAAAATATAATTTCTCACTAAAAATAACAAAAATTTAAACAGCCTGTAAGGCTGATGTAGCTACAGTGTTTGAGACACATAATAACAATATATAATATATCATATCAATCAGTCAAGTCATTTTCAAGATAAAAATAATATTCACTAAAAAGAGAAAACTGAAGTTATCAAAACTAAACTCAAGGTGTTAACATATAAAATATCAGAGCAATTGGGCTAGCTGTTTTCTCGAAGAAGTCAAAAATAGCATTTTTTACCAATAAGTCGAAAATGTGAAGTTGACAAGGATGGACAATCAGTAGTTTGAGATTTTAATATATCAAAAAATGAACAAATCTGATAGCAAAATGAAAACGCAGACACAGAACGGATGACAACGAACTATCACCTACAATGTACAGTATATTAACAGCTCTGCTAAGTCATCTTTGAAGACATCAAAGCTGAAAAGGTGAGAGATAGGCAAATAGACAATTACTAGTTCCATATTTATGCAACAATAAATATTAGTACAGCATCCTTCAAGATAGCCCAGATAAACATAGCGTAACTATTACAACCTTGTCCATTGAGAATCTAGATTCCCAATACAAAAAAAAAAATGAATGCATGGACTAACAATGCATGATCTTTTTTTGCATGGCAAAGTAAGCATGAAAGTCCTGAAACAATACAATAATTTAATAAAATTTAGGTCGGAACAATTCTGATAAAAAATGCTGAAGAACAATGCAGTCATCATAATTGCATAAAAAATTAATTGATGTTCTTGTTCCTCAAATAATACTACACATACTGTATTAATCTCAATGTTTCCTATAGAATAATATAACATGAATTGTATAAAAGTTTCTAAAAATATAATAGTACAGCAACATATCTACTGGTAAGCAAAATTTGGCAAGAAAAACACTAGCCAATGTGTTTCTCAATAAATACTACACGTACTGTATTAATCTCATTGTCCCTTATAAAATAATACTGCATGAATTTTATAACAGTTCCCAAACATTAGCGCAGTAATATATATAATCAAAATAGAATACTAGTCAGATTTAAAAAAAGCCTGGACAACTACTAATGAAAACAACTTATTGGTGTACTACACTTATTTATTTGACAGAATTGGAGAGCATATTACTAACATCTGGTTCTCATTATCAGCAGCATGTCTTCATCCTGTCCACTTATTTCTGTGTTTAACAAATGTTTCATTTCAGACAAATTATATCTCATCACTTGAAAATTGCACTTGCTAGTCAAACCAAAATTGAACTTGGTAGACATTTCATAGTGTTTGATAAAACTTCTAAATTTGAAGATGATCCCTTAAAAATTGTTGGAGTTATTGTAACCGCAAGAAGAAGACAATTTTATGGTAGCGAGAGGGGAAACATAATTAATAGTTTAATGGAGTTAGGACTTTCCTCACCAGTTACTAAGCATGCAGTTATGGCAATGTTTTCAGAAAGCTGAGATATAGCAGAATACGATAATATATGTTTCGTCTTGATATTTGCTCAGGGGATTAAGTTACGATCGTTCCCATTAACCTCCTAAACATAGAGTTTTTTTGCGGGATTGGCCATTTCTCGGTGTTCCTTTTTTCTATGTTTCTGATCTTTTCACTGTTGCTTTAAAAGATAATGATCTTTGAGAATGCGTCTCGAAATTTTTATGTGCCCCATAGTTCTGGAGATAAAGCCTGTTGAACTTTATGGACTAACTTTTACGAACGTCTTCCTGTTCCAAAGGCCGTAACTCAACGTCAACGGCTTACATAGACGTCCATGAGACATCATATTTTAGCCGATTTTGTGGCGAATAGATTGTGTAATTTATACATCGTTAGCGTAGAGAAAAGTGTTGAAAAATGACATCTTCAATAGTAATAATAGTTAAAAATTAGTTTCTGTAAAAACTCAATAAAACTTTTTTTTCGAATTTGGCCACAGATAAACAGCTAATTAATGACAAAATGTCGACCATTTCGATCATACTTTGTAAATATACAAGTATCTGGTATGCGTGGAATGTTAGATCGTGAAAAATTTGTCGGTTGTTTCCTAAAACGTGACAAAACTTAGCAGTTTCGTCGAAAGTGGGTGCTAACTTGAGCAAGATGGCGTACCGCACAATTAATTTATTCAAGTCCCTTTGTTATGTTGAACAGCGTCAACAGTGCAATCGGTTTTCTAAACATAGGGCGGGCCTTCATGACAACATATATTTACTTCACGGGATTTACATGCCTTTAAGTACAGATATGTTTGAATTACTCTCAGCCTATGGAGAGTGTACCGTTATCGGATTTGTTATAATCAGTTAGCTCTAAGTCAGCGCTACCGGATTCGGCCGATACCCCGCCCGGGCGATCTTATGGATTCGATTTTTTTTTAGAAAAATGTGAACCAAAAGTACGCCCGGGCGATGTTATGGCAGATATTACGAAGCCCATCTTGTCTGAAAAAATAACCCTGCGCTGACCAAATATAATCATTCAAAGTATAAATTCAAAGTGTTTTAATACGTTGGCGAGAGGTCGCATTTTACGTGAACAAGAACATGCACTAAGCAGGAAAAGCAAGCCAAAGTCGAAACGGGGTGCATCATGAACATGACATGACACAACACACGATGCAACAACTGAGTGATCAGTGACATCATTTTGGGGTGCAATTGAACTTCAAGTACTTTTTTGCGAAACTTGCTGTGCGGCGATGCTGACATCAAGTGTATGTTGACCGGAGTTTGACCCCAAATCACACACTGAACTGGCGCGTTATCTTAGCAACTTTTTTCTTTCATGCTCCGCGCGTCGAACTAGTAAACTTATATCCGACGGTACTGTAATTACGCAACTTGTAGGCAACTCTGTACTTTGAATATATCAACATCGTTTACTTGGTGCACTGCTTTTCTAATTATGCAAATTTGTTTACAATATTGTACCAGCTCTGAATATTTCAACTTTGTAATGTATTGCTTTCATGATAACTACGCAAAATTCATTTTATCTTTTACTATTGTTAGGGCACTGACCCGGGATATTGGGTCTGTGAATATTTCAATATTACTGACTTGATAATGCGTTGCATTCGTAATAATTACGCAAACATAAACATGGGCGCATTTAAATCATTAAAAAGGATAGTAGTCGGGTGTCTACGGAAAGTCAAGAAAATATTTTAAATACTTGTGATTCATCGATGTATCAATGGTGAATTATTTTATTCGAAATGAAGTGAATATGTAATGTAATATAAACCATACTATAATATAATAAACTCTGGGCAGCGCACTTTGATCGCATTATTCACGTACATTTCGACTGAATTCTACTAACCACGTGTTTGAATTATGTGCGGCATTGGGTAATGACCTCCAGAGTTTACGCACTGATATTTGAATTCGGACTGGGACCACCCAACTTGACCCGTCAACAGAAACCGCTATATCCACTGTTTTTTTATCGGTGTCACCACTCTCGTCTATCTCCGCCAATTTTGTTTTGAGTTTTCTTATTTCATCGGCGGCATCTTGAAATTCTTGTTCTAATAGTCTTTTAGCAACGTCTAAAACTTTGTGAGTG